AAGCTTGGAGCATTGAATCGTGTCTTTGGATTAGCTCCAACTGAAGTTCGGCGTCGAATCTATCTTTCTTCTATTCTTCCTAAAATTGACTATTGCTGTGCCTTGTATGATAGTTCGTTTTCTCTTATATTACTATTCTTGATTCTGAAAGGCAAATAACTGATTCTGGGAGATTATTCCAATCAGCAATAGTATCTCTTCCAGTGAAACATGTCAGTTATGAATTTATATTGTTCTTTTTTTCTTATTTTTTTTAAAAAAACTTTTTTTACTTTCTTTTTTCCTACGCTCGATAACCCAGAAGATTTTCTGTTTTTGGCGAGGCGTACTTCCAAACGTTTGGAAAAAATTTTCAGACTAATATTATTTCCCATGAAAATTCTTTTGCGCGACTTTTTCCTAAATTTTTGGAAGTACCCGTCACGAAAAATAGAAAATCTTCTGAGTTATCGAATGCTGGATACGAAAAGGCACTTTTCAGCAACTCAAAACCAACTTTACTTTTGTTGTTCCACTGATATTGTATGTCAAAAACTTACAAATTTATCATATATTTTTTCATACATTCATTAGTAACTGATTGTTCGGTGCCATTTTTTCTTCAGAAGAAAAATGAACTTTTCTCCTTTTTCTCTATTTTATTGATACTGAATGAATCATCGTTATTCCTAACATCCTAAGAGAAACTAACATCGAAAGTGGTGTAGTGGAACCTGCTCGCTGTGGGACCGCTTTTGGCAGCTACCAGCAGAGGTAGAGTCTGTCGACATCGCAACTTATGCGCTACACAATTGTAATCTACTTTTGTATTTAAGATATAATGACGGGCGAACGAACAACCGTCGAATTATTTGTCCGTTCAAAGTGGATAAACGCCACTATAGCACTTGAGGATGAAAATCTTTTTATTGAATACGCTCACAATAACAAACGTGAACCAATGGCCGTATCTTCACCTACATCGACTGATAACGATCTTATCACAATCAATAACAACAATTCTTCGATGAAAACAGCCGCTGAGTCAAATGGAAACAGTGTTGCTGGTGGCGACCGATTACCAACGTTATCAGATGTACCAGCAATTGATTCGAGTAAACGAATAGTTAAAATAGTTAAGTCGGATAACACTGGACTGGGTAAGTAAACAACATCGCAATGTCTCCGTTGAATTTATAATAACTTCTTGATCGATCTATGGGGTTTTTTTTTCAATTCTAGGCATCAGTATAAAAGGTGGCAAGGAAAATAAGATGCCCATATTGATTAGCAAAATATTTTCAAATATGCCAGCTGATTTAACCGGTCAGTTATACGTTGGTGATGCAATATTATCTGTTAATGGGAAAGATTTACGTGATGTTTCGCACGAGGATGCTGTGCAAATATTGAAAAAAGCCGGACGAGAGGTCGAGTTAGAAGTGAAATATTTACGTGAAGTAACACCTTATTTTCGCAGACAACAGCAACGTGACCATCATTCACATCATCAGCAGCAACAGCAACAATCATCACAAGATAATCTTGAATCGAATATTTCATCTCAAACATCAAAAATGTTAAATAATAGCAGTGAAGGAACATCATCAACAACAACATTAGATACTCGTAAACGTGCTGGAGGAGGTTCGTCAACAAGCGAATCGTTGCTATATGAAACAAAGCGTGTTTCGCTTCGATTATGTTATGTATTTCATCGATCATCAAATACAAATGATCTTTTAGTTCTATCATCATCAACATCCAACATGACACCAGCAACAGCCGCTCCATCTCTTGGCTCCAACAACGGCGCGATTCTTGATGTTGTTTTACCGTATGCACAAACATGTTACAGTATTAAATTTCTCGATGAAACTAGTTGTAAAAAATGGTTTCACATAATTCATTCAAAAATCTCTCGATGTCTGTTAGAAATATTGCCAGAAATTGAAGAACATTTTTATGTTGAAAGAAATGCCAATGAGTTAAAAGCCCTTGGATGGTTAGCCGAACAAGTAACTTCATTGTCAATGAGAGTTATCACTTTTTTTTATAAAAAAACTTTTTTTAAGGTCAATACAGATGATAATTTAACATCATCCACTATTGGTTGGCGTCCAGTATTTCTTGTGTTAACTGATACCGAAATTTGTTTTCTATGCTGTGCACCTGTTTCGAGACAAACATGTCGAGAACCTGATACAGTCTATTCTATACTTTCAACACGGTAATGTAATTTTAAAGTAGAATAATATCGTGAAAGTCTGTTTGGTCTCATTGTTTTCTTGTAGCCTTGTTCAACCGTCACGTGAATTACTTTATCCATCAGTTAATGTTGATATTTCATTACTTTCGCTTCGAGTTGGAACGAAATTTGGTGTTGTCTCACACATGTTTCGTGTGGAAACAAAAGCAGATTTAGCATATTGGACAAAAGCAATTGGACAGAGTATACAAATGGCCGTGATCAGAGTGAAGGAAATTATTTTTCGTATGTAAAAATCAACAAACTTTCAATTTATTAACTACTGATATTATTAAATTTTAGCTTGCAAATGCAACAATCGACCATGTAAATTATTTCTTCATTATGAGAATGGATTTACGTTATACAGTGAAACAGTAGTAGAAGAACAAACGAATAAAAGTACTACGAGCGGAGGAGGAAATCTTCGATTATTATGGCAACAACCATTTGAAAAATTGAGATCATCAGCTGATGATAATGAACATTTATTAACACTCGATTTTCATGGTGAAGAAGGACAAGCAGTAAGTATCATCACTTTTTTTCTCCAATAAATTTTAGATTCTCCATTTATTGACATGTTAATTCTAAAAAATAAAAAATATTCAATAATTGTATTAAGATTATGGAACAAACGAGTTCAAAAAGTGTGCTTCTTTTCTTTTTTCTTCTTTGCTTCAACATTGTTTTTTTTTCTATTTATAGGAATTAGATTTTGGCACATCACCAAAGCCATTTGTATTTCATTTACATGCCTTTCTTTCTGCCAAAGCAGCACGTATTGGACTTACACCTCAATAAAACATAAGCAATAAGTGAAATATACTGACCACAGTCTTCCTTTTCTTTTAAAACCATAACTACCATTTTTATTTTCTAGTCAATCTCTATATAACCGTTATTGTTTTTTGTAATCGCAGATACTATCCGAGAATGTAAACGTGTAGCAAAACATTATCTATTACATCTTTCCGTGTGCTTGTATTCATCATTCTCACCTCTTTCGAAATTTACTTAATCTCTATCTCATTTTTCTGAATATCACTATTACGCGTGAGTGCAAATTTGTACGTATTTCAGAAATGCATTTAAGTCATAATAAATTGAATTTTTTCAAAAAAAAAACATGTAGTACTCGAACAACGTTTTCAATGCAACTTTTTTTGTTCTTTCTGTGTTCAAACAGAAAGTTTTGCTTTTTTTTTAGTGCAATTAAATATTTTTTTTTAACTATACATAACTACTCATCCCTTTTTTTTCTCGTACTATTTATTCGCATCATTTTTGTCGTTCTTTTGATATATTTATTCTGATGTTCAGAATGTTTTTTTGTGTGAGTTTGCGTGCAACATCTTTTTTTCTAATTTAGTTAAGTTTTACAACCGCTTATCACTTACTAGAGACTCAAACACAACTTATTTCTGGAAGAATCAAAAAAAAGATACCACGACTGATTTCGACCTTTCTCAAGGGTCTCGATAGGTGATTTTCTTCGAGAAAGACAGAGTTAAGGCACGGCAAGTAACACAACTCAGTCTATATCGTGTGAGGGTGTTATTATTCGTCGTTCTCATTGAACAAAGAATGATAACTTTCACACGATGAGAATGGAGCACACTATCACTGACCACTGTACATATTCTGCTTCTCTCCATTAAAAATTTTCTTTTCATTCTATCAGAAATGATTCATCCTTTAACATAAACTTATCTAGTAACTTTCACTCAACAAACGTTGAGACAAATGTGAAAAGCACCATACTTATGGTTCGATCTTGGAAAGTGGTCATCAATTCTCTTACTAATCGTAGTTCTGACACAACAGAGAAAGATATTACGCCTCTTACTAGTCACGTTTGTTCACACTAGAGAACGATAAATTAGTCACAATTCTTGGAGAGGATCAGAATATGTGCAGTGGCCAGTGACAGTGTGCTCCATTCTCATCGTGTGAAAGTTACCGTTCTTTGTTCAATGAGAACGACGAATAATAACACCCTCACACGATATAGACTGAGTTGTGTTACTTGCCGTGCCTTAACTCTGTCTTTCTCGAAGAAAACCACCTGAGACCCTTGAGAAAGTTCGAAATCGGTCGTGGTATCTTCTGTTGATTCTTCCAGAAATAAGTTCTGTTTGAGTCTCTAGTAACTGATAAGCGATTGTAAAACTAAACTAAATTAAAATTGTATCAAGTCGAGTTTTACGTTTTATATATCTTTTTTTCTATGGTTATGTCAAATTTATTTGAATATTAAACAAATTTTTTCAAGGCAATTTTTGCCAAGTAATACGAATGGTTTAAATAGTTAACAAATTTATAGCTTCGTCAACAAGTTTTATATTTTCATTAACATAAGTTACTACTAGTTCTTCATTTTTTTCGAACCATGAACTGGAATAAAAACCCAACCATACAGCTGGATACATTATGTCTAATAATGGTTGTATTGAAATAAAATTTGGTGATAAAGTTAAACCGAGTTGTTCTACAAGTAGTTTCATTTGTTCACACTGTTCATTATCATTAAACCACATTGTGTAAAATTCATTATCTGTCTCGATAAATGTCATACAAGAATGTTCCCAATCAAGAACAGCTAATATTTGACCAGATGTTTGATCAACAAAAATATTAGACGGATTTAAATCGGCATGAGCCATGAAAAATGATTTTATTGTAGATAGATAATCATCTTTAGAAACACGCATGATAACCGATTCTAATTGTGGTATTAAATGTTTTGCTGGTAGTAATAAATTATTATCTGCTCGTATTCGTTCAATTGACCATTGTAAATGATTAATAATTAATTCTTTGACACTTGCAAATGGTCCTAATGGTGGTCCATCTTGAATTAAACCAGCGACTGACATGTCATGTAAGAAACTTCCTATTAAATTTTTACAAAGTGTTAAGTTATGTAGCTGTTTGATAAATATGACCATTTCTTTTACTGTTCTTGTTAAAGCATCATTGGTCATTTGTTCAATAACAAGATCTAATCGATTACCGTGTACTTTTTCCATTAAAATATATTCACATCCAAGACCACTCGTTGATGACTGACATGAATAACTAATAATTTTTGAAATAGGAATAGTTGTATGTTCACGTAAATAGTTCATAACAGATACTTCATTTGTTGTACGGCAATGTTTCCAATAGCGATGAGTATTGGATATTTTTAATATTAATTCTGATTTATTTTCATTTAAAATAGATTTAGTTTCAAGAATAAATAGTGGATTAACAACACCACCACCATGTTTCAGACGCTCAAATTTTATACAACAAAGGTCAAATGGATGAAGAATATCATTTAGACTATCTATTGAAATTTTTGACAAAGTAGATTCAAGAGCAGTTTCTTGTTCTTTAAAAGATGGATGATCAATAAATTGCATTATTACTTTAGAGTATCATTTACATAAAAATAAAATATTTTTAAACGTTTTACTATTGTAATTACATCATACAGAGAAATTTTAATAATTGCTGCAAAAATGTGTGTAATGTTGAGTCATAATGTTGTTCTACTCATCACATTTCTTTTTATATCTCGTTTCTTCATTCGAATATTGATAATCAAAATATTTGTGTAAATTCATTATCCTTTTATCATATAATTTAAATCGAGAAATTACTATACGCACGAAAACTCGAAAATATTTAATGTTAAATCTAACACACACACAAATTGCGGTAGTATAATTAACTATTTTATTGGTAATGTTTTTGTTATCTACAAAGATCTTTATTACAAACACAAGTAATTGTCTCTATCGTTAGTTGTTGTTGTTGTTCTTTCAATTAGTTTTGACAAGTGTTTCGGACACATATTCTCGGTTACTATTTAGGCTAGTGTATATAAACGATCTTTTATTTCAATAGAAAAAAAAACCACGTACGAACAACAAAAACAGTAATCACAAATGTATACGGACTTTGTGCAAGATAAAAAATACGATTGCACGAGAAAAGAAAACAACACAACAACGTTAATAAACCGGATTAAAGTATATTGCTTCTTCATTTATTATGAAATAAATGCAAAGTTTTGATTAGAATACGTTTCTAAAATCAATTAAAAAAAAACTAAAAATATAGTAGAATATATTTATTGACGGCTTAATAATAAATATTAACGCACTCACGTGTAATTTGTTTGCTTTTTATGTAAATAAATGTTTAATTGTCGTTGTATTTTTTACAATGGGATAGGATGCCGCCGATGCTATTCCACACATATTCTTTTTATTTCGTGCCATTTTAATATAACCCTTATCACCCCAATGTTCTGTCCAACTAAAAAAAACAAAACAAACATTAATCATTAACGAGTTTCTGGTCTTTACACTAGTCATATAAATTTACCTATTTTTGACAATATAATATTCTTGCTTTCCTTTAACGGGATCATTAGCAACGCCATAGCCAACAGCTAAAACACCATGATCAAGCTCTTCCGATGAACATTTTGGTTCAGAGTAAACACCTGCAAGCAAACAAAAGTATGTAGAGCATATATACGGCAAAAAAACCTATAGGTTTTGCGTCAGAATAGTGGATGAGCTTTTTATTGAACAGTCGTATAAACTGACGAGCGGTAAACAAATAACTATCAACTGATGGACGCAAGAAGCAGCAGGTCACATTATGATACATACGTACTAAATCAGAGCTATGAAAATAAATGAATGTAGTATTCTTTTCAACTATACTTGATAATAACCGTCTTACCTGATGTATAAAATTGAAACGATTTTTGACTGGCGTCAATTGCAACAGATACGGGTCCTTCTAATGCAAGTGCTTGTTGTAAAGCTGTTTCGTTTCCTTCTGGTATATCAACAAATCCATCACATGTTGATGCAACAGATGATCGACGAAATTTACATGATGCTTGATCCTTGAAATGTATAAATAAAATCTTTTCTTTCTTCACGTTAACATTCTGTCACGATACAAACCTTTCCCTGATATGGATATGTCACTTCATCATCAATACCTTTGTTATCGTGAACATATTTGAATGCATTATCCATTAATCCACCTTCACAACCATTGTTTCCCCAATTTGTTGAACAATCAACCAACTGTTGTTCACTTAAACTAACCAATTTACCAGTCGAACGAGCATGATGACTTTCGAGTGCACCAGTCTAGATCCATAGAACTTGGTGTCGGAGAAATTAAAACAAGTTAAGAAAATAACGTACAGAACTAAATGCCCAACAACTGCCACATTGTCCTTGATCTTTGACTGCAGTAACAATACCTTGATCTCTCCAATCAACAGAAACAGGTATATTAACATAAGGTGAAGCTGGAATTTGTAGACGACGTATATCTAAATATTGATTATGATGTTTTTTTTGACGCCGATAACCATTTAATGTATTTCTAAATTCTTCATTTGACTAAACGTAAAACAAACAGTTTTATGATGCAATTACTTCAGAGGCTCTTAATTCTATCCATGAATTTTTCTTCGATCTAGAGTGGCCTATTTCTAAATAAAAGAACTTACAAGAGCAGCATATTTATTTACGCCCATTCGATATGTATGAAGGCCAAGATCATGTTCAAGATTGTGTTGAATGATCATTTTAACATTTTTATAAAATATATTAAATCGGTGCACTTCTTCCACTGATGTATTATAAATAATGCCTAAACAGAACAATAATAAAGTACAGTCTTAGCTTGGCAGTGAACACCTACCATAACCGTTCTTGAAATTTGTCCAAAGTTTTCCAATATGATCTTCTATATTTTCAAGTACAGGTAATTGAAATGTCTCACTATAAACTGATGACAACGAAAACACAAATAATACAAACGTTAAACGCATAGTTTATAGATCTAAAAAAAGGTGGATAAACTCGTAAGAAAAGCGTGTATGTTCTCAGCTAGTAACATTTTTTTTTGAAACACGCGATACATATTCTTTATACAAAAACAAATGATAGAACGATTCACAATATACTTATCTAAGATAGATAATAGATGTGTTGTGTTTTTTGTACACTAGAACAAAGGTTCATAGAATGTGCACGTCTACTCAAAATTTAAAAGGAAAAATAATGACTATTTGCAAATAAGATAAATGTGATTTTTTCATCCTTCTTCTCTTCCTATTATTCTAGTTTATAGTCGAAGATAGATTTATAAGATGTAAAAACAACAAAATTCTCGTACTACTTATAAAGGCAGAAAGATAAACAGAAACCTTATGATACCGATGAATCATCGAGAACCACCAGCAGCTGGAACTATATCTCTCTATACAAACGTTATAACGTATCAAGAAATATTTCTCTTCAAACTAAATAGTTCAGTATGTTTAGATCGTCGTCTTTCTTTTACTCATGCATACGTCACAAATGGCGTACTTATATTTTTTTGATTCTAGAAAGGTTCTGTCAAATTTCTGATCGATCACTCATATTTAATATGTACTATTAATCGTTTACCTGGATCGTGAAAACTACAAATAAAGTGTTAATTTCAGAGAGATTATTCATAATATTAAGATAAGAAGAAGTGTACATTTCGCATCGAACATCGAAATAAAAAAACAGAAGTTTTAAAAGTAAAGACAATGAAAAGAAGTGAATGGTTTGTGACAGTATTTTCAACAAAAACTAAGTCAGAAGTATAAAACGTATTTAAAACGTATCTCTATGAGTCACACAAGTTTAGTGCGGTTGAAGAAAAGTTACAGAAAGGCAGTCTCGAGGACTGCGTGCGTAAGACCAAATCAAGTTTCCAAGGCCTGAGGTTTTCTGTAACGAAAAAGCGGTTGTAAAACAAAAATTCATTTAGTGCAAACAACTCGAGTTTAAATATCAAAATGCTGGAAAATCACAGACTATGTTATATTCTATTATGTAGCAAGTCTTGGAAGCAAATAGCGGATTGAAATCCAGAAAAAATTATTTTTCGAAAAAAACAAGTGCAGTGTTTTTGAGTAGACGCAAGCATTCGGATAAAAAAATAATATTGAACTGGAAACTAGGGATGTTCGATTCTCATTAAGAACCGAGACCGCGGTTCGCGTATTTTCGCTTTATTGTGAATTGGAACCATGTTAACGGTTCTGGCAACGAAACTGGAGCCATAGTTTCTTACAGGGTTCCTTTTTTAAAAGAAATATTAAAAAAGATATATTAAAAGATATATATTAAAAGATATATTTGTCTGTCATCATTTAAGGCCCCCTCCCCTCAAAAATGCTGATATTCGGCCAAAAGATCGGTTTGGAGATACGCACATGGAAAGATAGCCTGAAGTGTCTACTTTCAGAATTTGTATCGCTTTTGCTTACAAAACTGTTTTTCGGGGATTTTGAGCAAGTTTTCTAAGAGAAAAAAAATTAGTTTTTCCTGGATACTTATGCAACTAAAATTTTTCTGAACACATAGATTTACAGAGCAAACGTTTCTGATCAAAATGAGATCTCGCACAACTCTGTATGGCCTTTCATCAAAAAGTTACAGGCATTTTCCTAGAAGTCCTAAAATCGAGTATTTCATACAATACAGCGTTTTCTCTATATAAGAGTTACACTTGAAGTGCGTCCCAAGATTTTTAATAGCGGTTTGTTGTAGAGAGTTCATTCTCTTTTTGTTTAAAAGAGGAAAAGAAACTACATGGACTGACCGGCATTGATTTTTGAATTAGGCCTTAGGTTGTTGTCAAACTGAGGCTTTTTAGAAAATTCGGAAGGATTTTTCGGGTTCTGGAGGTTGTTGGTTGCCTGGAAAATCAATAAAGGCTTAATTGAAAAATCGGCGCCGATCAGTCCATGTAGTAGGTGTCGAGTTTAAAATAAAACAAACTCGAACTCTCCAGCTTAAAGTATATTAAAAAACCTTGGCACGCACTTCAGGGTCCTTTTTGGACCTTGATCTCTGGATAACTCCTAAACCGCAAGACTTTAAGACAAAAAAAAATTTTTTCATTCTTGTAACTCATTGTGCCTAACATTTATGGAAAGTTTCGTCAAGATCGGATATACGGTGTCGGAGATAATTTCTGAGGGAGGGGAGCTCTTAAAAGAACTTTCGTTTACTATAAAATGAATTCTATTTCGTTGAATTGTTACTGCCTGAAAAATTATTTTCCGGTTTTAAGCTGAGAATCGAGAATCGCGGTTTCTTTCGTTTCGGTTCTAAGTCGAGAACAGAAACCGTGATTCTCAGGTCCGGAACCGAACATCCCTAACCGACAATAAATAAATAAGAAAGCTTATTAACTAAACTTCAACACCAAGCGATTGGTTTTGAAGTACAGCTGAGCAGTGTTGTATCTTGAGGAAAAGCGGCGATAATCGAAAACAGTGAGGCTATAAACCTTTGATTTTTCCATCGCTAAGGTTGACTCAATTAATGAGGTTTGTGAGGTACGTTCTCTTCAATGATTGAAAGTTTTTCTGTTTTGTCAGTGAAACATGAATAAAATAAATATTATCTTACTTATTGTGATAAACATTTTTTTCTTTTATTAAATGTCTGACACAGTACCTCTCTCGAGAATTTTTTTTCTTCTCAGAATTTAGAGAGTCGAGTCAATTCTACCGATCAAGGTCTATTTGAACAGCTAATTACTGAGTGAGAAAATTTCTAGAAAGCCTGAAACCAAGATTCTCTAAATTCTTTTTTTTATGCTAATTTTCAGCTATTTTTCCATGAGCCATAACAGCTGGAACAAAACTTATTACGGTAATAGTTAGTTCATTTCTCGAATTATATTTTCTCCATTTTCTATCTAAATAGGCTCCTTCACAAGTTTAGAAATACGTGTTACGCATAATCTTACCGTAGAAAATGACGGAATTTTATTAAGAAGTCTCGCTTAGAACTGGGCGACTATCATCATCTACTAGCAACGGATCTAGAAAATTTTTCCGACAGGTGCGGAGCACTGAAAACGCAATCAAAAAAAGTTTCCTGTTTTTGGTAGGTGCAGTCGCAACCATCATAAATCCGCCACTGGAATCTACTATCCTATTACATGATTCCATGTAATCCTACAATATCTTGTAATAGAAATTGTGTAGAATTTTTGTGTTGAAATCTCTACTGGAAATGTCATCTTTCTTACAATACCGATGGAGAAATCCTGTCGAAGTTTCACGGGGTTCGGATCGCGCAGTTGCAACATCAAATGCGTGGTTACGTGTGAACTTTCTATAATTTCGCACACGTTCACAAATGAAAATTTCTTTTCCTGGTGTGCCCGCCCATACACCATTTTACGACTTTCAGTAGTGCCCACGTGAGAAAAATATGACACGAAAAGTTTCCGTAAACAGTTCACACGTTGTCACAAGTAGAACATAGTTTTCACGCGTGCCCATACATCATTTTACGATGTTTACGTGCGACCACAGTTCATTTCACGATATTCACGGGTGTACACGCCGTTTTATATACTAAAATTTTCCCATGGGTAGGATCCTACTTGAGAATTTCTACTGGAAATCTTTTTGATTGGAACTTTTTAAAATTGAACGATATTGTCTACAGAAATGGCCACTATCATAACATATGGTGCAAAAGTAATGGTGCAAATATCAAGCTGTATTTCTCAGCGACAGATCCTTCTACTTTCTAAAAGTTCCTTGATAATTTCTTAATAGTAAAAAAAGTCAGTTTTAGTAGAAACGCACTACTTTGCATGGGAAGATGGTACATCGAGAAAATTTCTTTATTTATGCCTCAAAATATATTAGTAAAGATTTTAAATAATGTGAATTTGCAGAGAACTGAATGCTATTTCAGAAAATGCATTTTAGCAAAAGGAGGAAGTTAGTTCAGTATCTAAAAGTTATTAATTAAATCAAATTAATTGTTTTTGAAACGAATGAAAAATTTGCGAATTTCTGGTTGAAAAGTAGACCGAAAGATAATTTATCATCCTCCATTCGAACGAGCGATAAAAACACATTTAGTTTCTACAATTACATAATTTTAGACATTTTGTTATAGATAATATGCTTGATGAGAGAAACATGTTTGAAGAGAGCGAAAGTTGCAAGAGCTTTTCTGGCGACGTTTGCTCTTTAGATTTTTTCTCATTCAAACTTAATCAGGAAAAAATTTGTTCTCTATGTTTTACGAAGTTCAGACGGAACATGGAAAAATAATGCTCGACATTTACACCATTACTTTTGCACCATATGTTAGTAAAATTTCTTTTAGTATGTTTTTTAATTTTGGTTATCCTGCTGTAAACATTTCAATATGAGGTATACGAATGAATATTGATGAAGTTTTGATGACTAGTTTCTTCTACAGTGTATTGATATCGATCAGCTACAGATACAGGCCTTGAAAAAAAATAAAATATATACATATTGATTACAGAATTTACACCTACATTTAAACGTTTACAATAGTAAAAAGCAAACCTCTCTCTACTCGTAGAACAAGGAGCTGGCAATAAATCTTGTACTTATTTCACTAGTATATTTTTTCAATATCTAAATGAAAGTTTTTCAAAACTATAAAATACCTAACGGTTTTCAACATATCAAGATACTCTCGTCAAACTCAATATCAATTATGAATTATGTATTTATTTAATATAAAACATGACAAATGATACGTTTTTTTCATTATTTTGGCAGAGATTTCAATAATCAATCGAAAACTGCAAAATTATAACATAAATCAAAAGTCAGAGATGCTTAGTTTTATCCAGTCTACAACTTTACCTTTACTCAGTTTTATCCTTTAATTCTGTTTTAGCCCTATTTAATTCAGGAGCAAACTATATTTCTGCTTGGTGCTGTGTGGTGAGAGACCATCAATTGCTCACCTTTAATTTTGCTTTATGATTATTTTTGTATGCTTCAAACTTGTCTTTCGAAAAGAAACAATCATAATTATGGTGCTGAAAAAAGGATATACTCATTCGCATTGGTCGGTATTTTTCCATGATTGCGAACTGACTGACTTCCTCGTCACATTTCTTTTTATTGGTTACTTTTATTACAGGTGTCCATGGCAACAAAAGTATTTAATCTTCAGTGAGCAGAATAAAAGTTAAATAATTGTCAAAAGTGTACGCCAAAGTGGAATAACTCATATGTCAACGCTTAACTTTAGAGTAGAGTTCTTGAAGTTAAGGGAAACTTAAGTCGATATTTAAGAATATTGACGGTAGGTATTCACCAGTTGCAGTTAAAAACCTTGTTAGGGCAGCCCCTTGTGAGGCTAAACTTCAACTCCTTCTCCTTTGGAGACACTGAAGGAGTTTGACAAAAGTAATTAACTATAACTGTTAAACTGTAAAACTACTCCAGTAGTATCGCCCACTTTTTGATAACATTTTCAGTTGTGATTTGTACATGCCAAATGTGGAGGAAAGCCTGGACTACAAAATGTATTCATCCCCAGCATTCCATGAACATTGTCTCGTAGAGCAAAGTGTTTTCTTCACAATGAGACACCCCCCCAGAATTTTGACCAATTTTACATAGGCTTTTTAAATTCTACTTTCAAATTGAGATAAAATGTAGCAGTAAGTAGTGAGAGTGATTTTGTTCAGTCATTCACCGTAGTCGTTAATATGAAAGTGATTTTTGCTCTTATATTGATCTCATTAAAATGAGTTTATATATTATTTTGACTACAAAATTCATAGTCTCTATATTAACCAAGTATGAAAAGCGTATATTTTTGCGATACAAAATAAAATAAGATTTTGTTTAACAAGAAGTATCGATATATTGGAAATAAAACTAAAATTCAATGACATAATAATTTAATCCGAGCTTTTTTTCTTGTTTCCAGACTCGAAAAGATCAGAAACTTTGCTTTGATGTATAAATTTTTTCTGATAGTTATGATCAGTTTCGATTATCAAATGTACCAGTTATGCAGTTTTTACAGTTACAGTTCACTGTAACTGTTGCATACCTAATTGACGAAACAGTCTCTTGCCTAATTCGGCTTCAAAGGTATATTCTTCATATTCGACTGATGAGTCTGACAAGCATTATTGCGTGTTGGTGATGAGGTTCTTGAGCATGGGTTTTCGGCTAATGAAAAATGAAACTGTTAATCTAAGTCTTTTACACCTAATTGACGACAAGATGGGTCTTTTACTAGAAAATTAGAGATTGTTTCTACAGTTATCAAGCACGGAAATGAAGTAACACTAGAATGAACTACGGTAATGTACTCTCGAACATAATGCACCAGAGAGATTGTGTCGATAATAGGATTCTAAAAACTTAATCTTGTATTCGAGAATTTTTGAGAATGCTCTCGGAAGTATACGCTTAACGAAGTTACATCTATTGTTTCAAAACAAAATAGAGCCTGTTAATGTATAAATTTTTGTTAAAACTAAGAGTTTTCATAAAATCGCAATTCTGTAGTTGGTACAAGAACTGAGGGAATCACATTTTATGTTTCTAGCAAAACTAAGCATACTATCACCATTTAGTAGCTATTTTTTAGCTAATATTCGTTTCTTCTCCTACACAGAACTTGAAAAATATTACGAATGTTGAGGAGCAAGTCACATATCTAGGCAAGTAAAGTCTAGTTGTCGCAAAGATGTTGCAATGAAGGACTTTGAAGATCTAGTTTCTTAGATAGATCTCAAACGTAGTTCAAAAATAGTTTTCTCATACTACATTCAAACACATATTTTTATATATAAACAATTTGTTTTCGAAAGAACGTAACTTAACAAATACTGTACTATAAGCATTCTTTGTTTTTAAGGATTAGTCGATTCATTCGATCTTCTTTGCTGTCTTTGTGTGTTGCGTTAAAGCTTTGCTAATACTCAAAATCCTGCCTTGCAGTCGCATTAGATCTGTAAAAAACACGATTGTGAAACAAATTTATCACGTACAAACAGAAACGCATTTATAAATCAAGATCTATTGTCTTTTTACCTATATATAGCCATGAGTGCACGTGTAAACGCACAAAAATTCGGTAGTGGTGGTGGCGGAGGTTCAATTCACGATATACGCTCGTCAAATAATCGATCATCGTTTTTGAACAATAACAACTACAATATTTCTTCTTCGTCCAGTCTATCAAATGATTTCCGTTTTTATCGTAGTGTATTCGACCGTTATGCCGATTCAAAACAATTTAAGATAATAAATAGGGAAAACTTTCATAAAGGTATTCTTGTTTAGATGTTAAATGTAAGAGTTCTTTATTAGATTTTTCTTCTAGCGCTTAGTTGTGTAGGATATGATGTACCAAGAGCCACAACTGATGACTTTTGGTCTAAGTACGAAGGTACGTTTTAGAACTTTTGTCATTATTTGAAAATGTATTATTTGTGCATGACTAGATGATATGACGTTTACAAATTTTCAACGGCTCATTGACGAACAAAAAGGAATTGATGAAAAGTCATTGATTGACGCATTTGAAGTTTTATGTGGCATTGAGAAAAAGCCCCGTAGTTCCACTATGGGATCGTCGATTGATTTCAACAAATTTCAAACTGATTTACTACAAGTGTGTTTTAGAAAACTTAAAAATATTCGTTACCTATGTACTCTTTTGTTTTAATTTTAGAAAGGTGATCGACTTAACCAAAACGAGTTTGAGAAAATACGATTTTTACTTGGAACTGAAGGTGGACAAGTCGATTATCGCAAATTAGCTAAATCAATTGGAGAACAAAAAAATATTTGTCGACAAACTATATTAACGGAGGAAAAACAAAAAAAGAGTATGTGTCAGTTAGGCATAAAAGATTTAAATTAACAATTTCATTTTTTATTAGGCGAAAAACCACGGTCGAGACCGTCATCACCAACACGTTCAAGACCGTCGTCACCAACACGTTCGAGACCGTCATCACCAACACGTTCAAGACCGTCATCACCAACACGTTCGAGACGATCATCACCAACACGTTCGAGAACATCATCACCAACACGTTCGAGAACATCATCACCAACACGCAATAATGTTTTGATTACGCTACCATCATCAACCAATAAATTGTCAATACCGGTAAGTTTAGTGGTTTTGTTATAATGTGTTCGAACAACAACTATTTAAAACTAAGAAAGATGACCCGAGAAGATATTAAATTAGAAAAAGAAACGAGTTATGTGAGTAAAAACACTTGATTACTACAATAATTTTTATTCATAATTGGTTTAGAAATTAGATTCAAGAACAATTAGAGGTGTCTTCTTTTGCGAAACGTATGAAACAAAGGATTTACTTTATTCAATAGGCTATACTTTCGAATTAAAAAAGGATACAGAAATCTGGTTTACAATTGAACCGTACTTAACAAACTTTCACAAGGGTAAGATCGTAGCGTGGTGTGTTATCTTTGTTGTTTTAATTTCGATTTATTGTGTGTTTTTTTTATTGCAGATTCAGTATTCAAACAAATTGACACGCGCTTGTGCATATTTCAAAAAATATCGCATGAAAAAGAGAGACGACTTATCTATATTAGCGAGGAAAAAGTACTTGCTGTAAGTTTTTGATCAAACATATTGATCATAAAATAAAATTTAGCTCTAAACTATATTTTAGAAATCATTTCTTCATGTGGAAAATTTAAATCGAGGCGTGTATGAAATTGTTCCAGTGACATTTGGTGGAGTTTTAAAATCAAGATCAAAAGAAATAAATGAACGAAATCCAATCAAAACTCTAAAAGAACCATCATCAAAAACTTCTTCCAAACATCGTTTTGTGATGTCCAAATCTTATCGGTAAGATACGATGTAGTTTTTCTTTCTAAACAGATGATGTATGCACAGTCTTTCATTATATTTCCAGTAAATTTATAATCGTAGAATAGAAAAGAGAAAGTTTTATCTTATTATGATTATAGAGAGAAACTTGTTGTTATCTCAATTTTACATTTGTATAGGCTAAGTTTTTGAGAGGATGATTTGCTGTGCTTGAAGAATTTAGCTGTTCTTTTCTCAAAGTAAGATGATACTTACTGATGTTCAACTTTTTGTTTTCATTTCAAGTGATGTGTTAGAAGCAGTATTTGACATGTTCGACCTTGATGGTATAAACGCAAATGTTTGGATATTTAACACTAGGAATTAATTAATTTTTATTTCTAATCAGGTAACAAACAACTTGATCGACAAGAATATAATTTATTTACAATACGAACAGCTGGCGAAGAGATTGATGATGATGACTGGAGATCGTTAAAAGGTGACTTTAAAAAAGAAATGTATTTAATCAAATAATTTCTTGTCTTTTTTCAGAAACTCTGAATCTTGATATTGAACAAAATATATCTAAAGAAAAATTTCTTAAATTAAACGAAATGGAAGTTGATGACTCAGACACAAGTGAGTCTGAGTTGTGGAAGGGTGTAAAATCACTTGGATTTGATTATAGTCTCAATGCTGATCAGGTTCTGCTTGTAAAAATAAAGTTGCGGGAATAAACTAACTGTTTTGTTTCTTTAGATGTGTCCATACAATATTAGTGTCTATACCAAAAATAATCCTGACCTTCGTATAAAACCAACAGCATTCTTTGAACTCGAGCAACTCAAAGGAACTTTAATTAAATTCTATCAAAAGAAAGTGAGTGAGAAACTTCTTAATTCTGTTAAATGCTATTTTTCTTGTTTTTGTTTATTTTAGAATGTAAAACCAATTAAGATGAATAATCCAGACGTTTCTTGTTCGGAATATCATGACTCGTATGGTTCAATGTTGTTTGCAGAAAATAAGGTAGTGACTAAACTTACACTTCCTTTTATTTCTAAAAATTTTTGATTTAGTGGTAGTAAAGAATAGATAATTCTTGTATATAGTATTCTCTTTTCTCAACAACATACACTGTAAAGTCGGAAATTATTTATAGAAAATGCTCGACGATTTTCAAAAAGTCCATCTATAAAATCCTCATGAATTTTCCAGATTATAGAAAATCGATGTTAATATAATAAGTATAAGTATTATCTTATTATTATAGATACTACTTTAGATTGTTGATAATTATTTATAGAAAATCCTCAGCCACTTTATATATGGACTTTCCGAAAATCGAAAAGTCGAATGATTTTCTTCTTTCTCGAAAATGGCTCAAGATAAACTTTTTCACTGTTATTAAAAACTATTGAACTTCGAAGTTGAGTGGGGTGAATTATCTCAGCTTATTAAATAACAATATGGATGTTTTAATAATGAAAATCAAATTTGAAATCGATCGCGTGTTGAACGACGGTTATTTTATTTAAAAAATAAAGAAAATAAATGTGAATTGTTAGAATCATGTCGTTGAGTTAATAGAACCAACTACATTTTTGAAAGATGCTAAATTCAGACATAAATATGAAGAATATTAGCTGAAGCGAATCGCTTTCTTCAGAAAGTTGCGGTGAACCTTTATCTTAACCAGGCCTAACGCAAGAACCTTTTTAGTACCTGTTTGTGATCTCTAAGTATCGTACAACAATAATACTTCTTCAGATAGCCAAGTACAATGCTTTGCTATTCTTGACTATCTGTGATGTTTATTTTAGCTGACTAATAAATACCGATTAAACTAATAATACTTCTCGAAGAATATGCTGATTTTCAAAAACTGAGAGAACTTTCCGAATCTACTAACATTTCCGATGTTAAATACTACAAGAAACAGAGATCTGTTACAGGATAACTTGTTGCATTGAAGGTTTAGAAAAAAATGACTGATTGATCTTCTTAGAAAATCGCTGTCGATTTTCCAACTTTTTAGAAATTCCTTATCGATTTTCTAGCAAATAAGAAAAAGCAATTCATAGAAAATCGAGCGAATTTTCTGTAAAGTAGAAAATCAATATTTTCTAAACAATCATAAAATCGCTGGGGATTTTAAAAAAGTTGGAAAATCCTTGACGTTTTTCCAGATCGATTTTCTATAAAATAGAAAATAATTCCAAATTAGTCTAGATGAAAAATATTTTCTTTTCAAGGGAATACGTGATGTGAAGTTATCTGTGACGTTTGATAATACGGAAAATACTGCAATAACTCTGTCAACTCTGCAGAAGAAACAAAACATAATCAATTTAAAACAATCTACGAGTCAAGTATGGTCATGTTATATTTAATTAACAGACAAATCTTATTTGTGTACGCTTTTCTTTTAGTTCGTATGGTTTGCACATAAACTCGATAATCAACTTCCAATGGAAATTGAGGCGTCTGTTCGCGTACAGTAATAGAATGAATCAGAGACTTAATATAATTCTGTCCTTTAGAGTGTTTTAATGTATTGTTTTACTAAACGTTTACTAATAATTTTACTAATTATTGTATGTATGCAGAATGTAAATAATCGCTTGAAAAAGCCACCTTTGAACATTAATAAAAAATTAGAATTTAGTGGTCAAGTTAATCTGTTGGATTTAGTTAGATATTATTTTTTGGCTCAAGTAAAAAATATATAGTTTGGATCATTTCTTAATCTTTCATTTGTCTATAGTTTCGTTTGAAAGTTCACATGACTGCATCGTTCATCTTTCTTTTTAGTTTATTTTCTAATTTATATACTATAGTCGTTAAAGACAATTTATCATCAATTTAATGCCATAATCCTGAATATTCTTCAAATATACTTTTATATGATAGTTGAATTGAGCACAAACAGTTTAAAGTAAATAAATACACGCATGAATTCATATGAATAAATATGAATAAACTGTAGAAAAAGTCTCTGTGAGTAAATTTCATCTGGATTAATCCATGAAACTTGCCTTATTCAGGTGAAAAGCTCTCTAGTTTTATATCAGAGACCGAAACGGGTTGAATCAATGTTTGGAACGGTTCAGATTCGGGTCAAATAAAAAAATATTTCGGGTACCATTCGGGTCAACGGAAAAAATTTTCAAGTTTTCATGCGTTTTTCTGCGAAAAATCTAAAGTTACACTCCTTATTTTCGGATGCGAAAAAATTTTTTTCGAAGTTCATTCAGGTCAAGAAAAAAAATTTCGGGTCAGGATACAAAACATTCGGGTTGGTTCGGGTTCGGGTCAAATGACTTTAACCCGATTCGGTCTCTGTTTTATATTGAAAAGTATTGGGTTAGAACATAAGTTCTGCAAGTTTTTTAAATAATAATAGCTCCGTCAATTTTCACTCTACAGACTTTGAGTTCGTTTTAAAAAATGCGCTGTGAAATATTCTACAAAATCATACGTAAACTATAATTTCAGACTTTTTTTTCAGACATTTTTGTAAACTATAACTTCAATCAAGAAAACTAAGCCAATTAGATGAAAATCGAAAAACATGTAAATTTTTAAACTCAAAATTTTTTTCGACTAGAATTTTTTCTTCTGCTACTATTTCTGCTAAAACGTGTAGCAAAAGTGAGAACTCAGTTTATGTTTGGTACTTTTAAATGTGCTCTTTCTCGTGGTCTGTAAAAAAACGTTTTTAAAGCAGCGGGTGTGTTGGAGAACGAAGTTACAAAAATGTATCA